GTTTTAGTTGCATCAGAACATCTGTCATATATTCGCTGACAGTATGTACTAGTTACAAATTTGTATATATATGTCATATTTGTACATTTGACATACTTTCATGTTGTTAGTTCCAAAACTTATTATATCTGTTCACAATTTAAATTAGTTTTAGATTAATATTTAGTTTATGTGGTTTGCTGTTTGCTTGTTTTGTTTTGGTTTTCTTGTCATATTAGTTTGCCTTAATGGTTTTGATTTCCGCCCTCTGTATAATTGAGCAATTTATGAATTTATTATCCGCCATTCCATGAATTATGGTTGATTCCTCCACCATCAATTTAATCTGGCCATCCCCTGTCGTTACTTAACATACTAATTTTCCAATCGATATGTTTTCTAAGACAACACGAGTTAGTCCCCATCAAATAAACAATATCAAACAAGATTTATCTAACTTCAAATATTGAAAGGTAATCAGAGTTGCTTCCCATATAATTAAATATTAGAATTACCTCGCATTGCACATGACAGGTTAGTTGAGATTTGTTTTATGATTTCAGGAGAAACAATGTTCAGCTGAGAAAGAAATATATAACAGACAAGAGTCATACTGAAGTGTTCTGTTTTCTACATGTTGCCAAACATTCTGTCCGGCAGGGTCTGTTTTGCCTCTGATGGTAACCAGAGCCGACCTTTTTCTTAATTTTATCCCTTGATGCTGCTGCAACATTAACGAAGAATTCATCTGGCTTTTATTGTTCTGATACGGAAAACTCTCTCCACTGTAAGAACTCTTCTGCCTAAGGTAACTTAAGGAAAGATGGATTACTATTGGTTAAGAATCTAATACGTGACGTGAGTTTATTTCTTTTAAACAACTATCATGGTGACAGCTCGACAATATGATATAAGACAGGCAGCAAGGTCGTTAAACGCGGAAACTCGGGAAAATGCCGAGAGCCAACGATATTGCTTCAAAAGCTGAAAAATACTTGTTCCCTGTTTAGTTAATGTGAGTTTACCAGACATTCGTGACCATCTTTTTCGAAAAATTGTCTTCGACTCAAATTAGAGTAACAACTTGAAGGATTTTCGAACTAAAATGGGTTATAGATAAGAGTTCAAACCAATACATAAATTCTAACAAAGACATGCTTAGACTGTTTAGGAGACAATACAATTTCAGCGAATTAGTCAGAAAATTACCTTGTTTTTTCACTTTCTTACAAGGCCTTAACTGTAATATGGAGAATAAAACAAGACAACATCTGTTTCACAAGCTTAATCGACCCTAGAGATCAGTATTTACCTGACGACCAAAAGCCTGTTGACTAAAAAAACCGAAGGCTGGTGCAGCATGCGATGCAAAATTTTCACTTCATTATATATTCAAACATGATAATTCTAAAGGTATGTGAAACTTGACATGCGGTTTAGGATATGATGGCTCGACCCAGTAAGCGTAACTTAGCAGGCAAGATGTTGCTTTTATTAACATTTTCTCCGAGAGGAACAGTTATCTCATCAATGTGTGTCTTTCCAATTATCACCAAAACCTATTTTCAACATTGGGCAATTGGAGATGTGGATGGTGTTAGGGGTAAGTCGTGGTGTGCTTCTATGAGGTCTCTTCCAATTAGGAGTTGAATTTTCCAACGTCCATCAATCGGTGGAAAGCTTTCTCTGAGTTATTTCAGGTGTGGATAGTGCAATGTGACATCAGGTGTAGGTACTTCGTCCCGATCATTCGGGATGTGATCACAATTTTACGTTACCATGAATTGATTCAATAACGAAATCTCTGCCGGAACACGTTGATTGAATGTAGTTTTCTGATTTTTAGTGCATGTCAAGCATACTGAAATTCAAGAGAGACAAGAGACCGGTTGGAATAGTCGTCAATTATGGCGTCATTTGGATAACTTTGTTTTAATATTTTCTCTGTGATACATATTGAGGTAGTATCTGGACACAATAATTTCCAATATTGGGATCCTTGTATATCTCTGTGCAGGAATGACTTACAGAAGTTAATTTGTTCAGTTGACTCTGTTTGCTCACCACTTTAGGTTCTTCCGGACTAAACTGAGAACTTGCAGGTGGTTGCCCCCTAGTGATGTGAAGTGCGATGTTGTGTTGTTTGCTTCCGCACTTATTAAATGATGCACGTATGTCAACTCCGACTTTCTTGAGTGTTTGACTAAAAGCACCTGTAGCAAACGTTGTTTTGTATGAACAATTCTTTATTATACTTCATGTTAAAATGCGAGATTTTGATTGGTTAATACGAGGGAGACAATTTACTCTATCACATGGCAAATACTCTATTACACTTCACGGAGACGCTTGCTCAAGTGTGCGCTTTAATAAACACGGATGATTGTTATGTACAAAACGACATAGTTTATTACTTTGAATTTGAAATTTAATAGACAGTACTAACAGAACATTCAGTATAATAAATTAAATAACACATATCTGAGAGGGTGATAGAGCTGATTGTTACCCCTCGAAAAGACATTGTCAACCTTGGCTTCGCCTCAGTTGAGAATGTTTTCTCGGGGTAACAATCTGCTCTATCACCCTCTCAGCTATGTGTTATTTATATAGTGTTGCTCAATTGGGTCGGAACGTTCTTCATTAGTTTAAAGCATGCTTTGTCTTATGCAGGACACAAATATTTTATTGTTGACTGCGGTCACAAGTTGCTGTTTAACTGCCGGCCTTCGGACGTTGGTTTTATAGTACGGCTGAGGTGTAAAATTTGGCGCAGCATCTTTTGAAATATGTATCACTTCCGGCTCGACGTTGAAACTAGGATCGTTCTTGATCTTACTTATCTCGCTGATAAAATTCCATGAAAGGCGTAAATGCTACGTCGTACTTTCAGTTATACATGTATCTTGCATCCCTTGCTATCCACCTTTTTTGGAATCCATAAGGCAATTTTGCGACGATAGGTTTTAATCCGGACGTAGAGTCGAAATAAACCAGAAACATCCATACATGTGATTATCTTTGAGGTATTATATTTCTGAGAGAGAATATCAGACATTTCATGGAAATGAGTTGTCCTTATTATTCCGTATCGAGAAGTTCGTTGGTTAATTCAGGAAGTATACCTTCAACATTTCTGGAGCACACTACCTCTCTACCACGCTAATGTCGTGTCTGGCAGATTCTGGTCCTAGCCACTTAATCTGTAAGTCTACCTTGTTAGAAGTCTGAAACTTGTAACTCGTGTATGATACACTTGAAACTGACGTTCCATGTGTAGAAGAATTCAGCCCGGTGGTTAAAGCTGGTTAACCGGGGAAAACATAATGTAGGAGAAATCTTGTTATATCTGATGTCTAGTTGATATTATGGTTGTTATTTTCCGTAGCCATTAAAGTTAAGATTACAGGTGTTGATTGGTGTTGCAAGGATCTACTGTTCGCAGATCAAGGAAAATAAAAACTTCCGTTGACATAGCATCCGCAAGCTAGACAACTGGTGTTGGTGATAGCAAGTTCAGATGACACGAACTCTTGCGCTCAATTGCTTTGTTCAGCTGCATAACGAGTTTGCTTTCTTTCTTGCAAGATGCTTTTTGTTTTTTGTTTTTGAGAAGGTTCTGTAATAAATCAGCCTCATATGCGTACAAAAACAAGTCTGTAAGAAGTGGTGCACAATATGTACCCATTTGAGGACCGACTGTCTGCTGAATATCAATCAACCAACCTCAACAAATATGTTGTCGATCGAAAAGTCATCGGTGTACTTGTTGTTCTTCACAAAGTAAGATTTTTTCTTAATCTTTAACAAGGAATTTGTATCTTCAATTCCCATTTTTGTTGAAAAAGCTTCTTTTGATGAGACGATGCAGTCGATGTTTCAGTTGAGCATGGGGAATAATTGTGTGAAGCGTAGAATATTAAATCAGAGGTTTGATATTACTGAACGTTTATTAATAAAGATTTTAGAGTAGATCTTTAAAAATTCCACATCTGATTGACACCGCTGGTTGAATATACACCACACTATTTCTGAAGGCCATCTTTTACTCTAGAAAATAATTGAGGTAAAAACTTTAGAAAGATGTTTAGTCGAACATCTTGACAACCCGGCGATATGGAATTAAACGTTTTCTACCCTAGGCATAGATGGCCTCAGTCAGATTTGCCGCACATGTTGGGAATGTTTTGATTCGAGTGCCAATGATGACTCTAATGTAAACGAAACGCGCATCAGGCGTTCAAACTGTAAGCCCAGTATTTTTAATGATTTTTCGTCACTAAAGATAGGAAAAAAGATGATTTCCTGCCAATATTTTAATAAACATCTAAAAGGGGGCCTCGGTGGCCGAGTGGTCTAAGTAGTTACTACTGTAATCACTAGCCAGTCAACACTGAGGTTGCGAGTTCGAACCCCGCTTGTGCGGGTGCACTCGACTCCAATCTTAATTGACTAGGATTGTCAGTTTTCCTATCGAAGGTCGGTGGTTTTCTCCGGGCACTCCGGCTTCCTCCACCAATAAAAACTGGCCGCCTCGAAATAGCCCAAAAGCGGTGCTTAAAAGTGGCGTTAAAACACCAAAAAATAAATAAATAAATAAACATCTAAAAATACATTTTTGTGGAAAACTATATTTCACAATATTGCACTATTATTACTGAGTAATGTAACCTTAAAATACAGTATTTTCAAAATATGTTTATATCCTGTGTGTCTGTCAATCCATTAGTTTATTTTCAATATCATTTGAAGTTTTAAAATTTATATTATTAATTGCATCCATTTACTTCCTTTTAACATTTTCTACCCCAACTTCCTAATTTTATATATATTTTATATACCGAATATTGCACTAAAAAATCAGTAAAATAGAAACGTTATTCCGTTCCAAAAAAAAAAAAAAAAATACGTTTGTACATTACGAATTTCAGACCTAGAATTATTCATATTTTTGAAAAGAAAACGCTGTATTTAGAACAACAAAAAATGTCATATTGGTCATGTTAAATCGGACACTTTTCCGAACATGTAACGATCTATAAATAGGTCGAGATAAATTTACCTGATCTTCAAGTTTATATTGTGTATACATGTAAGACATATATAGCGTTTAACTTTATAGATATCGTTTAAGTACGTATAGAAACACGAAAAGGAAACCTAGAAAACAGCAGATCACTTATTTTTATTAGTATGGCACAAGCAGATCTAGTAATTAGGAATGGAAGAATTATTGATCCTGCAAATAACATCGACTTTACCGGAAGCGTGGCAGTTTCGAACGGCACAATACAAGCTGTAGGAACAGATTTGAACATTCAAGCTGTAAGGGAATTTGATGCCACGGGTTGCTTAATAACACCTGGTCTAATCGATTGTCACGTGCATTGCTACGAACATGCAACACCTCTCGGGATTAATCCAGACGAAAGTTGTCTATCCAGAGGAGTAACGACTGTTGTAGACGCCGGTAGTTCTGGTATGTACTTTTAAAATACATTTATACTCAGAAATAAAATTTGGTTTTGTTTATTATTCAAGAGAGCACTGTCGTTTGGGTCTAAAAATGTATATTAAGATATTTGGTGGTGGAGTGATGAAGTAGGATATGTAAATAGATTGTTAATAAAACGTGAAAGCTAAATAAATTCGAACATATCTTTTACTTTATACTTCACTTTTACGGATGTTAAATGTAGGTACTTAGTATCTGTTTCACTAAAACCACTGAAAGTATCTTAAATAGTTTTTTCAAATTAATAAGTTTATTACTGACTTAAGTACTTCACTTCCATGCAGTTTTAGAATAAATTTAGATACATATGGAATGAAATTATCTAAATTGTATTTTCAAAATATGCTTAACCACTATCATTATTGTCAAACTTAAGAAAAAAATATTGATATCATTAGAAACCAGGTTGTTGATATGACTAAACCTTATCTTTTTTTAAATTTAGATATTATTTCAGCTTTATTTACATTCTAGGAGAATCGACCTTTCCTGGCTTGAGAAAATTCATTGCAGAAAAAAGTCACACAAGGGTGTTGTGCTTTCTTCACATAGTTCAACACGGTTTAGCTTCTTCTGGATGTGCCTCTGGAGGTATGTTTCATAACTCAGTGATTCTTTTTTTAGAACGATACATTGTTTTTAAAATTAGCAAAATCTAAATTAATCACAAAGGTAGCAAGGACATATGAGAATAACTTTTCTATCTTTCTGAATTTTTTTTATCAAAAGCTCATCAGAGATATTTTTAAAAGGGGCATAAGCTACGATTTAGACAACATTTAAAATACGATTCTTTTTGTTTCAAGTATCAATAAAGCGGAATTTTAAAATAAAATTTCGTTATAAGTATTCAGTTTGACCCAAATTTGTCAGAAAAAGTTAAAAACATCGCTGCTGTATTATTGACTTGCAAGTAGATAATTTAACCTCATCGAATCCGTATGAATGTGACCTTCAATTTAACCCTTAGCCAGAGATGGGTTACGAATGTACTAGACGTGTTCAGCAATTAAAAGGAAAAGAATGTCAATATTGAAAGTGAAACAAGGATAAACCATTTCGTCAACTGATTCGATCCCCCCAAAAAAAATCATTCTTATACAGGCTAAAACGATGATTAACATAGTTTTTTAACCTAAAATATGAAATCAAACATACTTAGAAAAATACAGCTGCACGTTCTCACCATCTATTTATATTTATTTGTATGTTGTATCGGATTATATGACTGTCGACAATCTTCGGATGTCATCTCGATGGTTAATTAGATGGCGTCTATACAAAAGTACGCACGAAATGCTGATTCATATTTTCGAGTCCATGCATTGTTGATTGTTTATTTTATGCTATTTGTAATTAACATGTTACAAATCAATCAAAAATGAGAATTTGAGTCGAATCGGGGGACGTGAATTTGACAGCTAATACCCCTTTGAACGTTTAAGTCACAGATGCCAGTTATTATTTGACTTCTTACAGCTCCAGGCGGAGAAATCGACTCATTAAATCAAGTGAGTGTAGAAGCATGCGTAAAGTGTATTGAATCTAACAGGGATATGATAGTTGGTGTCAAAGTTCGACTTTCTGAAACAATAGCCAATGACGGAAAAAACGAAGAAGAAGCCTATAGGTAACTTATACTACTGTTGCCTTTATTTATTAATACATTCCTTAAATTCTTATCAGGAAGCGATAGCAAAATCGCCGAGAACAAAGTGAGCCCATATAGCAACAATTTTATGAAGAAAAATTAAAACCTTATAATGATGCCTTAAAGAGACAAATTCTATATTTATTAATAGTAAACAATGTGTTGTCTTATTAAGTAATTGGTCAACGACAAGCGAAATTCCCTGCTTTTAAACATAGTAAGAGAATAAAGTATTGTCTGTTCGTATATAGTTAGTCATTCAACGTGCAGGATAGGATCTCTGATCGGATACGATTTGGATATATAACTACACAAGCGCAGTTCCATTTGATGAGAAAAATGTCGAAAGCGAACAAAGTCGGTTTTACCAATTTAACTTTCGACTGTCATTTTTCTTTTGTTTTAAAAAAAACCCATTTTCGAAAAGTAAATAAATACACTAACATCATAAGACCATTTTAGTTCATTTCATAAGCAAGCACGTGCTCACCTCGTAATTCATGCACGTTACACATGTATTCAGTGCTCGATTATCTATTGCTTTCAGGGGCGTAGCTACCCGGAGGCACGACAGCACCTGCATCCTCGTCGTTTTCACACAAAAAAAAAAAAAAAAAAAAAAAAACAGAAAGAGAGATAGAGAGAGAGGGACAAAGTTAACATATAGGAATTGAATAGAATAAAAGCCAGAGGAATACACATGCAGCGAAATTTTTAATCCTGTAAGACATGTATACATACAACAGGTGTAAACGTAGCGGAACTTTTTATATTACAGGCATTGTTTTGAAAATACCAGCTACATAGTTGTCGGTACCACCACCATAACGTATATACTCGCCTTGAGGGCAAAAAAAGCATTATCCTTTTAGAGTTAACAAAAAAAACCTTGAACATTATTATTTTCTGCTTCGCCCCAAAGCACACATCTTACTAGAACGAAGACTCTTCAACTCGTTTCGATCCGGGCATAATGACTGTTACCTTGTGAACTAGTTCAAAATTTACTAAGTATGTAGGTCTTGACAACACGAATAGTTAATTTTTCACATCACGTCAACGGATTCTCGTCCTGGTGTGCATGTAATATTTGTTACCGGACATTGATAACCATGCAATCAATCAATAGTTACCGTATACTAGTAGATGAGAAGTTGGAACTGCTGTTATAAAAAAGTACACATTTTCAAGTACATGTATTACGTTTTTATTTATTTTACAAAAGAAGCATCTTGTATATAGATTCGTAATTCGACATATGTCGGTGTCTATATGGCCAGTAATACGAATGGTTGATTGTAAAAGCATTCAAATAAATTGTTAATTCTAATTCGTTTTACTGGACTATTTGGTCATTCGATTTTATAATGAATTCTCTGTCCGAGTCTGACACTAAACTGTTGATTTTTGTTCGGAAGATACACTAAACTTTTAATACACGTATCTTCACTGTTACCATCTAGATATTGCCTGTTAATTAACAAACTCAGACCATGAAAAAGATCGTGGTCAATATAAATTACCATTCCCTCTGAAAAAGTTCATTAATTTCAACTTCGAGAATTCCTAACTGCGTAAAATTAGAAATTCCTTTTTCTCTCTCTTGTAGAGTTTACCCACAAATGTTTTAAACATCTAAATACATATGTTAAGCAAACTTTTGGAGAATATGTCCACCAAGTATTTGGTATCCAATGGTGTTTATGCTAACAGAAACTCCACATATAGTATTGTGTTTATGTTTATTGTTTGTTTTTTATACAGCTACTTTGCTCAATACAAAAACTACACAGGAAAAATTGCAACATATGTTTTTCATATGTTTTCAAAACATATGAAAAACATATGATTTTCATATGTTTTTCATATGTTTGTCCCAAACATATGAAAAACATATGTTTACAAACATATGTTTACATATGTTTTGAAACATATGAAAACATATGGAAGCAAACATATGTTTTCATATGTTTTAGATAATATGTTTACATATGTTTGTAAACATATGAAAAACATATGATTTTCATATGTTTTCACATGTTTTAAATGACATTTAAAAAAAATGTTTTGAGAAAATGTCAAAATTTGTCATTTAATTATCACATACATTTTGTCATTCATTATCTATATAGTGTATTTCTCAAACAGGAAAGTGCATTTTCTACTCTTCCCACTAAATCCCACATCATCGTGATGATAAAAACATGTCTGCCCTCAGCGGGCTACATGTATGTCACCCCCACAGCAGAGCTATCTAATTCTGAATGGAACATAATGTAAAATAAATGAATGAGTTATAAATATTAAATAATAATATGAATAAATATTCTTTATTTAGTTTGTTCTTTATTCTCAATTCTTTTTTTTTTTTATCAATAATCCCATTATTCTCTATGATTCTTTATTCCATATTTCTGCTTTTTTTAGTATCTGTTCTTTATTGTTTTTTGTTCTTTATTTTGCACTTTTTGTCATTATTTTCTATATTCTTAAACCCCAATCGTGATTCCAGACCATACGTAAAGTACGAAAGCTTGCATGGTTCGTCGAATACGGAAACCCGGAAATCTTTTCACCGTTACCGTTTTTTATACTATGACGCAAAATCCATGGACGCTCACGCGATCTGCTGTTTTCATTTAAAAAGTTTGAATGGACAGAGATAGATGATACAAAGAACTTTGGTTTTTCAAACTGGTGAATCAAAATTTATTATAAAAAGATAAATTGAAATGGGTGACTTGTCGATTAACTGGAAGAAACTGGGGAACGAAACATAGAAAATTTATAGAAAGTCAACGCAACGAAACAGCGAAAGTGTTTTTGTTTTGATGGATAGTTTTACGTACCCTAAAAGCACAACGAAAGGTAAATATTATTATTCACATTTTGTTTAATTATTGGATAAAAGCAGGAAGATGTGTGTGCTTTATTTTTCACGAAAAACTATTTGACTAGATATTTGTAAACCTGAGTCTGAGAACGATAATGTAATATAAATATAATTGCATTGGGTAATCCGTTTCATTATCTATTTTATTATATGTCATAATGAGATTGTTATAAGATTAAGACACAAATACATCCCAAATAACCGTATAATATGTAAACGCTTTAGACAATAAGACAAACTTGATAAGTGGGGGGGACATCATATACTTGATGTAATATATTGAAATTGTTTATCTAATGTCACTACAGAACTTAATTACTTTAACTGATACAGACCTGTATAATTGTGTCTTATGGTGTGTGATATTTGTATTTGTTTATCAGTTGTTTTAAAACCATGACTGTTGACACTGTGCAGACGACTTTATAATCTCTAGCAAAATTTTTAAATTTAGTAGCTATTTTACAATTAATAGATAAGGGTGCCCCTGAGGATCAATTACTCCCCCCTTTTCATTTAATTTAGATTTAAAAAATGTATATATACCTTTTCATACATTGCATAGGTAATAATGTACATGTAACCTTTTCCAAATTTTAATTATGAGTGATTCCAGGACATACTGGAGCGGACAAGAATCACATTCTAGCATTACCGAGAAAATCATCACATTTGATTAAAGCTCAAATCTGAGGCTCAAATTCCTTATGTTATGTTAACTTAACAATGCTTAAGGCAAAACAAGACTTGCAACTAAGAAAATTACAAGGCTTTGCATATGACAAGTACAATAAGCCTTAATTATTCTGAGTCTGAGACTACTATAACTGAGTCCTATAACAATAAACATCTAATAATTCTTAGCCTTATCATACATGTATTATACTTCTGATAGTTTTCCACACCTATTCACATATTTTTAAGCTGAAAAATATGACCCAGGCTATTACATCGGCAGGCCTTATCACCTTGTACATGTTGTACATTATAAGAAGTGGACCTCTAGAGTGCAAGAATGGTCTACTTAACATATACTTTAATGTGAATATAAAAATAAGAAGATGTGGTACATGTATGATTGTCAATGAGAAGAGTCCAATTCTCCACCAGAGATCAAATGACATAGAAGTTAACAACTATCATGACTATAATAAGTTATGGTACAAGATGACTACAACAATGAGCAAAGCCCATACCACAAAGTCAGCTATAAAAGACATTTAATGAAAATGACAAATGTAAAACAATGCAAATGAGGAAACTAACAGACTGATACATGTAATGATTTATAAACAAAACAAGGAACAAATAAACAAATATGATATACAGCAACAAAGTAAAAAAACGACAACTTGAACCGCTGAATTACAGGCTCCTGACTTTGGACAGGCATAAAAATGTACAGGATGTGGTGGAGTCAGACTAGTATTGGTGCCAAACCTTCCCCTTAAGGGAGCTATCATTTGTTTTTTATGTGTGTGTGTGGGGGGGGGGGGGGGGGTCTAGGATGAAATTTGAAAAAAATGCAGGATGAGACACTTTGCCCCCCAAAAAAATGCAGGATGACAATTGATGTAAAACAAAAGTCAGGATAAACTATAAATAAAAAAAGACAGGACTGAATAGAGTGGAAAAATGGAAATGCAGGACAAACTTTTTCATACTTCCCCCCCCCCCCCCTTTCACTTCATACAATGGTCATACATGTCATATGGATTTAATAAACATAAGATGGATTAGAACATTCAAATAGTTTAATACTTTTTATATAGTTTTTTTTTTCAGGGCAAGTCTAGATCTGTTGTTCTTGTTTTAAAAGATCAAAATAAGCCAATTTTGTCATATAAAAAATTTTTAGGCAATAAATTTGGCAGATATATTAATATTGTAACTTCATTTTACTATACATTTGTACATGTCATACATTATTTCTTTTAGCATTTTCAATGAAAATACATTTTGTACTTCAAGAAGTAGAAGAATCTAAGCAACAGAACAGAATTCATTTGAGGCATTGCTTTCTAGATTGTATAATGGATTCATAGATTGTCATATTGATTTATGTGCATATAAGGAGCAGCAGGCA